GCATCTATGGGTGGAGTCAAACCTCCTACCTTTAGTTTTAAGAGGTGACCGCCTGAACAACAGTGCCACCTATGGAATCATCAAAGGTGGCAGTGGAGAAACAGCAGAGTCAACCCTACGAGGAGCAGAATGGGACAAAGATGGCATCTTGGATTTGAGAGAGGAGCCCGTGGGTGTCACTGATATGTTAGGCCCTTGGCTGTCCGCGCAGGGGTGCTTGGCCTGGTGATTGGGCCTGAAATGCCACAGCTTGCAAAGCCCACAGTCCTGCTCTGCACACCTGGGGTTGCCACGAGTTGGAACTGACTTGCAGGGAACTAACAAGAGGAACGGGAAGGCCTGTTTAACCTGGAGAAGAAGCTAGAAGTTAGAGAGGTTTGTTTGACCACACACAAGCCACCTCAGCGTGAAGGATCGTGAGCCAAGCCAGAAGACCGTGACAGATGGGACATGTCACCTCGGGTTTATCTCACACAGATAAAGGTCAGAGGAAAAACCAACAAAACTGGAGAAGTGGGTGAAGACAGGGCAGATGAGCTGATGGCACGTTAACGGAACTGGCTCCACGGAACACTCCAAGCGCTCTGCCTCAGCCAGCCTGTCATCATGGCGAGCCTGTGGGTTAGAGTGGAAACACACCGCAGATAGCCAGGCCTTTCCTCTTCTGTACTGCGGGATGGGTTCAAAGTGCCAACCTTCCAGTTAGCAGCTAACTTCAAACCATTTGCACCATTGGGATCTCACTTCAGTCAGGGGAAGAGTAAATTAGCTTGACTGAGACCATCTTTCCCAGGAAGACCTTGACTTTCATCTTGTGAAAAGGTCTGTTGTGCGGGGGTTCACAGGTAAGGGGGCAGCGTGCGCATTTGTGGCCTGCAAGCTGTGCTTAGTTGCTAGTGTGTTGGCATCACCTGCGTGATCATTTGGAGTCTCAAGTACATGGTTATGGCTAATGTGCATTTGCCTAGAGAGCTCTGGTGGCCTAGTGGGTAGGGACTTACGCTGCCGACTCCAGGTGAGCAGTTCGAATCCACCAGCTGCGCTGAGAAAGATGGGCAGTTTCCTCCCATGCCAATTTACAGCCTCTGAAGACCTATTGGAGGGTCAGCTATGAGTCAGTTCCAACTTGACAGCAATGAGTTTGAGGGGTTTTTTAACATGCCAACCAAGGGGGCCTTTCTTCCAGCACTATATTAGTGGTGTTCTGTTGTTACTTAGAAAATTGTCCTCAGTTGCTTGTCTATAGTTTGCCAGGCCTTTCTTTCTAGTCTTTGTCTGGAAACTGCTGAACCCTATGACCCTGCTGGTGTTTGAAATACTGGTGGCTGAGCTTCCAACATCACAGTAACGTGTAAGCCACTTTCGTACTAGCGTCCGATGACAGGTGGCTTGTGTTTGTGTGAGTATGCCCCAAAGCAAGAAAGAGGAGGGGCAGTGGCTTGAGGTTGCACAGGGCGCCAGGAGCTTTCTCTGCTCCTCTTTATTTCATCGCTGATGCCCATGTATGGCAGCTCCACGTGCACTGGAGCAGAACTGGGCTCCGTGGGGCTTTATTCAGCAGCTGAGTTTTCAGCAGATTTGCAGGCCGGTCATCTGAGTTTCTGAGTGGACCCTGACCACCAACCTTTCACTTAGAAGCTGAGCCTGCTGATCAGTTGTCCCACCCAGGGACTCCTTTGGCCTTTAGACCAGACTATACGATCTGTTCAGAAGCCTCAGAGGTCCTACCAAAAGTCCTGCAGAAAGCGCAGACAGGCCTCAACAGTCAGCTCCTAGGGAGCCCTGATGGCCTAGTGGCAAAGAAGCGGCACTGCAATCCTGAAGGCGTGGTTCGAATCCACCAGATGCTCTGGTGGAGAAGGAGAGGCAATCTCCACCGAATCTGATTCAACGGTACACAACAAGAAAAGAAAATTTAAAAATCAAACAAACCCCTAAACAGTAAGCTCCTGGGGTTCGGCTTGACTGTTGGGTTGTCTCTGGGCAGCACTAGCAGGCTGGCTGGTGGGTTCAAAGGGCACTGCAATGTCGGCAAAGGTGGAGGGAGAGAGACAGGATGCCGGATTGTAACCATGCAGTGTTTCTTTGTTAGTTTGAACATCTGTTTCTCCATCCATATAGATGAACACACGTGTTCTGAAATGTCTATTCTGTGTAATGCTGCCCATATTTTACTGATTCCCACAGCGGAATGCCTTTGCAAATAGGTTAACAAACACCGCAAACTCCTTGCTGTCTAGTCAGAAATGACGGCTGAGCTGCCAGCGGGTTTTTGAAGCTGTAAATTACAACGTAGGAGATTGCCCGTCTTTCCTCCTGGGAGCCGCTATGGGTTCAGACTGCCAGGGAGAAGCAGCCTCACTCCTCATGGACCACAACACCAGTGCTGCCGAACAGGCTGGCTTTTGTTGCGTACCGTCGAGTCAGAACCGACACCTCGCTGCCCCTCCCGTGGGTTTTCAGAGGCAGTAAATCACATGGAAGGAGATTGCCCACCCTCCTCTCTTGGGGCAGCTGATCAATTCTAACCAAGTCTCTTTGGGTTGGCAGCACAATTTCTTATCACAAAGCCACCGGAGCGCCCTGAATAGATTGTAGGTGAATGCAAAGACATAGTGGACTGGGGGTGGAGATTGCATACCAATGAGAGAATTTTTCTTTTCCTTTTCAAAGAGAAGAGTGAACTGGAGGGGAGGGGTGGGAAGGGAGAAAAATGCAACAATGAATGAATGGAAATTAAAATTTTTTTTTTAAAAAGGGAATGGAGCACTATACTTTAGCAGTCATTTTAAAGCTTGATATGGCCATGGAGTCTTTTTTCCTACCTTATTTACTATGTAGAACTAATGACCCTGACTATTTAAAACCTGAATTTCAACCTAGTATCTATTTTATTATTAGTGACAACCTCTTCTTATTGCCTAGCAACAATTTAACTTCAATTATTTTACTCGTAAAATGGAGATAACAATAGCCATATCACAGAGTCACTCTGAAATTTAAATTTACTGTAGTTTAGCTTTCAAAAAAAAATACAAGTTATAGCAGAAGGCATCTTTTCAGACAGTTTGAGATACCACATCTTACACTGTTTAGAGGTCCTTAAACCTTTTCTTAGGTTGTACCCAACTAGAGGGCACCTAATAACAATAACAAAAACCATGGTTTACCACCTGTGGTAGCAGCAATCAGGAGATGGGGAGAATTAGTGTCCTGGGGAAGTCCGCAGTCAGGGACCTCTCCACAATACCAAAGAGCAGTGATGTCGGTGTAAAGATCAACATGCAGCTAATTCAGGCTCTGGTCTTTTCAATCACTTGCTACACATCCGAGAACTGAAAGATGGATAAAGATGACAGAATAGGAATTGATGCTTTTGAGCTGTGCTGTTGGAAAAGAGTGCTGACTACCCCATGGACTGTCAAAAGAACAAACAGATATGTCTTGTAGAAAGTGCAACCAGAGTGTTCGTTGGAAGCAAAGATGGTGAGGCTTCATCTCACATACTGTGGGCATGTTGCTTAAAGAGGCTGCTCCTTTGAGAGGGACATCATGCTTGGAAAACCCCCGAAGAGATGGGTTGACACAGAGAGTGCAGCAATAGGTTCAAGTGTGTCAGAGGTGAGGACAGGACAGCGTTCAGGTCTGTTGTTCATAAGGTTGCTAAGAGTTGAGCTTCTAACTCAGAGGCTGTCGGTCTTTGTCAGTTTCATTCCACCAGTGGGTCTAAGGGAAAAGATGGGTGGTCTCCTCCCATTGTCATTCACAGAAAGCCCAGTGATCTGTTACTGTGAATAGGATGAACTCCGCTGCAATGAGTGAGTGAACACAAGGGAAGCAGCATTCATTGGGTTCTTTCCAGCTTTTGGCCTTTGAAATGCTGTAAGGAGGGAGCTCCGGTGGCCTAGTGGCAAGAAGCTGCATGGCAATCCCGAAGGCATGCGGTTTGAGGCCAACAGCTGCTCCTCTGGAGAAGGATGGGCAGTCTCCTGCCGTGCAAGTAACTGCCTCTGAAAACCTGCTGGAGGGTCTCTGCTGTGGGTCAGTTCTGACTCTTCGGTAAACACAACAATGCTGTAAGGAGCTCTGACGTCCTACTGGTAAGAAGCTGCACTGCAATCCCAAAGGCACGCGGTTCACCAGCTGCTCCACTCGGGAGAATGCTGCATTTCCTGCCTCTGAAAACCCACTGGAGGATCAGCTAGGAAGCAGTCTGACTTAAAGGCACACAACAGTGCTATAGTAGGGAGCTCTGTTGACCTAATGGCAAGGAGCTGCACTGTCATGCCAAAGGCACAGTGTTTGAATCCACCAGCTGCTCCACAGAAGGGCAGCCTTCTGTTCAATTTGATTTACTGCCTCTGAAACCTGCTGCTATGAGTCAATTCTGACCCTAGTACACAACAGCAACAACAAGATGCAGTAATGTCTCGTAAAAGCTGTAAAGATCATTCTTGCACAAGTATTTGTTTGAGTCTCTGTTTTCAATTTTTCTGGGCCACTTTGAGGAGTGAGATTGCGGGCTCGTGGTAACTCAGCAGCATTTGATGCTTAGAGGATCTGGATTAGAGTTTTATGACATTGCATAATTTTTTTTTTAATAAAAGGAGGGAACGGTAGGGAGGTGGTCTGTAGACTTCAGTTGCAGTGAGAGGCAGGAGTAGCCAAATGCCCTTAGGCGAGGGGGCCTTGGGAGGGGGCACTCTGGCCTCAGCTGCTTTCACTGTGAAGGGAGGAGGAAGGTGATGAGCTGAGGCCTAAGGCGGAGGGTTAAAGCTTGACCATGGGCTGTGGTCTTGCCTCACCTGAAGCCTAGGCCCAGCGCAGGAATAATGAGATTAACTTGAGAATGTGGACGAAGCAGGCTGCCGGTGGCTTCCCAGATGGACCAAGGCTCTGTGGGCAGGGTGGGCTGACACACTCATGGGTGAGAGGGTGAAAGTGTCCAGCTGGAAGCTAAGGGCTGGTCTGGCTGGGAACAAAAGTGGTGGAGAGAGGGGATGGAGCAGTTGGGACAGCTGGCCTGTGGAAATATCTGGAAAACCTGTGGAGTGGAGGTGGAACTCGCCCGGCTAATTCGGTCCCGTTCTGACCCCCAGAAAACTGCTGAGGAACGGCCTGGTGAAGGACAAGCGCTTCTGAGTCGTGCGACCCCCGCCCCGCCCCGGGACCTGCCTGAACCCGTTTCCTGAACTCCAACCGGAATCCCTCCCTTTCCCCCCACCGACTCTGGACACAGTCCGCTCTCGCCCCCTCACTGACCCCCAGTTAATCTAGGCCACACCCCCTTCCCGGAGCCCCTCCCCCAGGTCACAGCCAGCCCTGCTCTCCTCGGTCCTGGTCACGTTGGCCCCGCCCCCGGGGCTCTGCAGGTCCGAAGGCGCGACAGCCCAGCCCCACTTGTCCGGCCGCCACCTGGGAGAAAGATGCTGCCACTGCCCTGCTGCCCTGGATGCCACCACTTTCTCCTCTTGCTGGCGCTGTTGCTGCCCTCGCCTCTCTGGGTCCGAGCTTTGGCGCCTCCCGGCCCTGCTGCCACCTTGACCTTGCTCCAGTCCCTCGGACTGCGCAACCCGCCCCGTGCCCCAACTACGTCCAGGCCCGTGCCCCCGGTCATGTGGCGTCTGTTTCGCCTCTGGGACCCCCAGGAGACTAGGCTGGGTCTGCGGCGGACGCTCCAAAGGGCCACCCCACGACCATGCCACGTGGAGGAGCTGGGGGTCGCTGGAAACGTTGTGCGCCACGTCCGGGACCGCGGTGAGCAGGACTTGTGTTGGGGAGAGACCAAGTGTCCCTGGGCACCAACCCCACTGCATTTGGAAGGGTTCTCCAGTGTCCCCACCCATCCTGAGCTCCCCCGAGGGTCCCCGCTGGGAAGGATGGATACCACGCCAAGGCCCCCCGTGGGGATGTGTGCGCCCCAGTCCTTGGAGGACTTCCTTGCTTGCAGCTGAGGCCCTGCCCCCATCTCGGCTACTTCACACCCTTTGATTTCTCCTAGCAGATGTGCCTGGCTCCCGCCAGCATCCTTCCGCCCGCCCCAGCCCCCACCCTGGCCACTGCACATCCTCGAAGCCTTCCAGCCGGTGCCCTAACCTCACGCTAACACCCCTGGGCTCACCCTGCGCCCTCTGCTTTCACAGGTTTGCCTGCGCGGCCCTCGGAGCCGGTCTCGGTTGCCGGCTCGTGTCCCGAATGGACCGTCGTCTTCGACTTGTCTGCGGTGGAGCCCGCCGAGCGCCCAAGCCGCGCGCGCCTGGAGCTGCGCTTCGAGGAGGCGGTGGCGGAGAAGGCAGGGCGGGCGGGTGGCTGGGAGCTGAGTGTTGCACTGGCAGTGGGGCTGGGGGAATCGGGGCCGAGGCGTGGGGTGCCACAGAGGCTGACTGTGACTTCGCTGCGTACTCCAGTGCGCGCCGACCTGCTCGGCGCTGTCTGGGCTCACAACACCTCGGTCCCACACATCCTGCGATTGGCGCTGACGCTGCGCCCTCGGGGCTCCGTCCATTGTGCGCGCCTGTCTGAGGCCTCGCTGCTGCTAGTAACCGTGGACCCGCGCCTCTGCCATCCCCTGGCCCGCCCGCGGCGTGAGGTGGCCCCAGCGGCAAGCGGCGGCGAGTGTCGCGCGCGGCGGCTCTACGTGAGCTTCCGCGAAGTGGGTTGGCACCACTGGATCATTGCCCCGCGCGGCTTCATGGCCAACTACTGCCAGGGAGCGTGTGAGCTGCCCATTGCCCTGGGGCCGCCAGCCTTCAACCACGCGGCGCTGCGCGCGCTCATGCACTCAGTGGCTCCCGGTGCCCTGGGCGGCCTGCCCTGCTGTGTGCCCGCGCGCCTGTCGCCCATCTCTGTACTCTTCTTCGACAACAGTGATAACGTGGTGCTGCGGCACTATGAGGACATGGTGGTAGATGAATGTGGCTGCCGCTGACCTGGGAACACAAGCGGGCTGGACAATAAAGTATCGTGGTCCTGGCAATTTGTTTACCTCTCTTTGGGGTAGGAAGTGGTAAATTGGATCCAATTGTTGGGCTTTACTACCAACCCTTCTGGGCCCCGAGTTCCACGTCCCAACTTGGCCAGGGGTTTGTGTGAACGCTCCCCGTGGGCTGACCCATAGGACTTGCTGCAGGTTATCATGTTATTCCAAACCCAACAGCCCAACTTCTGAATTGCCCACCCCCAAGTCCGTCTTCCTCTCCCCAGTTGCCTGAAAAACTCAAGAGCTGTTTATTAATATTTTATTGGTGACAAAACAGCTTAAAACAAATTGACCAAAAATCAAAAGTTACATGCCTTGGTGGGCGCTCCCTGAACACAAACTGGGCTAAGCGCCACCCTGAAGGCACAGAACAAAGTGAAAGCGGAGCTGAGGCAAAAGCATTCAACTGAAGGGACAGACAGGCAGGGGGCAGGACCTATCCTGGATGCCAGGCCATGGGATGCCCCTCCCGAGGCACAAGCCAGGTGGGGGCTGGGTCAGCAACAGCTGCAGGGGTCTGGGTCCCCAAGTGAGTGGGTGCTCGGGAGACAAATACTCCGACTGTGGTTTGCTAGGAGCTGGGGGGTAACTCTCCCAATTAACCACACCCAAAACCACATTGGGTGCTCCCTTCCCCATTAATTTGACATATCCCTGCAACCCCATCAGATCTGGCGTCTCTTAAATCTGCTATTTCTAGAACAGCCCCATCCCACTGCAGCACAGAGCCTTGCAGATAGAGGGGATCCAGCTGGGCAGCCTTTCTTGGGACAGGACCAGGGCCCTCTCGTGTGCATTTCTGCCAAGTCCATGTCGGATCCTGGGATAAGGGGAGCAGCCTCCAGCCAGGACTGCCGCCCCACCTGCCCTCCGGTCTCTCACTTCACGCACCAGGCCCTTGGCCACGCTGTGCGAACCTTCAGACAGGGCCCTCTTGTGGGCACTGGCGCCGCCCAGAAGCGGCTTTGCAGCTCAGAGTCCAGCCGAGCTCGTGGTGCCCTGCTTGCAGCAGGACGGTGCCAGAAGCTAGAACCTAAACGCTCCTCACGCTCTTGTTCGTATGGGTGCCGTCCCAATTTCTAGTTTTGTTGGCTTGTTAAAACTGCTTCTGGAAGCTTCTTACATTATCTCCCAGGTCCACTGCTAAAATTTCAGAGAAAAACTTAGGAATAAGTGTAGCTTTCAGTACTCCTTTAAAAGAATCTTTAAAAATAAAAAAGAAACAAAAATCCCAAACACCCTATTTCTTCAAACGAAACCCTTTTAGAACACGGGCGGCAGACGGCAAGGCTCACCGCACGTCACCCCATGGAGCCCGCTCTGCGCGAAGTGTGGAGTTTCTCCTGCTAAAACGTAGTCCCCTTTCGACAGAAGAAAACAAAAGAAAGAATAGAGGAAAGGGCTACTCTGAGCTGAGGGTCTTCCTCCCGCCCGCCCACTCCAGAGCCGTGTGCGCGGCCTGGGGCTGGGCCGCTGGGCGGCTGGCGGCGTCCGCACTCTCTCTGTCTCCTCGCCGTGGGGCCGGCAGTGGCGCGCGGCCTCGCTGCTCCTCTCCTCTCCTTCTCTCCTCTCCCTCGCTGCTCCTCTCCCCTCTCCTGTTGCTCACAGTGGTGCTTCAGTTTTAGCAGTGGAAAACAGGTATCCATTTATTTTTATTTTTTATTACCCAGAATAAGATGCTGATGCACTAAGCCACGTCGCTTAGCTTTTCTGCCGCCGCCTGCAAGAAAAGGAAAGAACGTCAGGGCCCTGGGGGCCAGACCTGGATTCCTGGACAGGACCTCAACAGCTGATCGGGATCCACCCCTCCGTGATGCCCGAGATGTGACAGCCTCAGTACCCACCCCACCCAAGCTGTTGGGGACACCAGACTCTCTCATCTGGAGCCCCATGGTGGTAGAGTGGGGACTTGGGGCCTTCCCACCTGGTCTCGTTCCTGTGTCCCATGCTTGCCTTCTAATACTGGGACAGCCCAGGGACCCCGCCATGCTGGTAGGCCCGCTCTCCCTGGTACGTGGAGTCCTGCGACAGCGCCACGTCAATCTGGGACTTGAACTCATCCCCGAGGTAACTGTCCTGTAAGACAAAGTGGGGGTGAGCCTGGTGGGGAAGCATGGACGTCAAACTCTCCCACTGCCACAGGTGGGCTGTCTGGACAAGGGTTAGGCCCACCTGGGACAGCTCGGGCTGTGACAGGCCCGGCTGGCTCATCTGTGAGGGCTGGCTCATGGAGACATAGCCCTGGGTCAGCGCGCCCTGCGAGAAGGGTTGTGAGACCACGTCTTGGCTGGCCTGGCTGCTGGGCAGAGTTGTCTGGCTTGGCCCTGGAAGCCCAAAGCGGTTCTTCTGGCGTCCCCCACGGCCAGTCTTGCCTTTTGGGGCACCCCGGCCTGGAACAGAGGAGGAGGATGAAAAGTAGGTGCTGTGCTTCAGACAATTCTGGACATCCTCTGGGAGGGGAAGGAGTGGCGAGGAGAAACACCTACCTGCAGCCGGGCCATTTGCCTGGCCAAAGTAGCCAGGTGGAGGCATGGGTGGCATGACCAGGTTGAAGGGAATTGGGATGTTCATGGCCGCCACATGGCTGGGGCCGGCGCTGATCATGCCGATCTGGTCGTGGGTCTGGAAGTACATGCTGGAGGGCCGGCCTGGGGACATAAAGCAGCAGGGTCAGGTGCCCACGTTGCACTCACATGAGCTAAGAAAGCCCCTACAGCCCCTGCAGTGGGGCATCTTTTATCAACTCTGCTCTACAACTAGAGGTGCTGCCTCACTCAGCATGTCTTGTCTACATCAAAGTGCCTGGGGGCCTACTTGAAACCCAACCCACACTCAGAATTAAAAGGCAAGAAGGAAATAAAGTCATTCCTTTGGCGAGTCTTGCACTCACACAACACCACTCCCAGTGATAAATGAGCAAGAAGTCTCAGTTCACTGCCTAGGGGATTCTGGGTCTGCCCCCATTTCCCATAGGCAAACCAGAGCTGCTCCAGGAACAAGACCCATCCTGGGGAATTCCTCAAATGTGAAGAGACCACTGTTGGGGAGGTAGGGAGGGGAGCATGAGGGAAGCTGCCAAGCAGGAAGGAAGATGTGGACATGGAAGTATGGCTCTTGGCCGTAGTAGAAGGAAGCCCAGATAACTTGGGATCACACTGCAGCCAACATGGAGGAGGGAGGCCCTGGGTGTTTAGGGAACACCCTCCGGTCTTGCCTCACCGCATGGGAAACAAGGTGGAGGTGGTAGGAGGTGGGAAGGATATGAGGTGAGGGCCTTCAGTCCACAGATACACTCAGATCACGTCAGGCTATAGGAACAATCACATGGAGGTGAGGAATCCCTGAGAGTGGGTTTTAGCCCAAGAAAGACTTATGTCACCTACCAGTGACCTGATGGCAGAGGAACACTGGCTAGGCCCTCTCTGGGAGGAAAGCTCTGCTGATTTAGGGCGAAGGGCACGATCAGGGCAGGGGGTGGGGCAGAAGGGCCCCTGCTGACTCACCCTGGCTGCTGCGGTCGTAGACTGACCCTGGGATGATGGCCTCCCGGGCGTCGTACATGGCGGTGGTCATGAAACGGGCACCCTGCAGAGGAGACACACCAATGAGGAATTTGCCGACCCCTCAACAAGAGCCACTGGGGACAAGAATGGTCCAGAGGACTGAGGCCTACTGGGCCGTCCAGTGCTGGGCTCTGGCTGCCTGCTTACCGGGTTGATGGTGTTGACCAGCTTCCGTGGCTTGCTGAACTGCATGAGGCTCTCCCGCAGGTTGTTCAGCGGCCCCTCCACCAGCACCTTCTGCTCCTTGTAGTAGTTGAGCAGGTGGTTCCACAGTGGCTGCTTGGACAGAGCCTTTGGGTTGCCAACAATGATGACCCCGTACCTGCATGTGGACAAGACAGGGTGAGCTCAGGGACCCACCAGCCATGGTGACCCCCACCCAAGGATGACAGCCACACTTGAATGTTGTGGGGGGCAGAAGGCAGATATCTGGATGACAGATTCCTGAGGGGACACTGCTGTGACCTGGAAAGGGAGGTACCATTGCAGGACGCGGCCAGTTCTAGGTGCTGGAGTGAGCAAGCATCCCAGCAAAACGTGCTCTGGTCTCAGTAATCAATCGTCTTACATCAAAAGAGTAACTTCCAGAAACAAAGAGCAGGTAGGACAAGAACTAGCCCTCCTCCAGGAAAGGTGCTGTAATCACATCTCAGGCAAGAGCCCTGCAGAGACACCGGCCAAGGTCCACAAAGAGCACGTGGCAGTGACTTGACTTGGGGATGGCTGCTCTTCCTCTCTGGTTAAAATCCTCTGGAGCCTGTGTGCCCCAGCCAACAATAGTGGATAGAAGATACATCTGGTTGAGACTTTTAGAGTACCAGATGCCAAGGGATAGTGCCCCTTCCCCTCCAAGAATGTAGACTCAAGAACCTTATTCCCACCCTGTGACTTTGCAGGCCTGGGGGGCCTTTGCGTTCTGTACCTTGCCCTCGTCAGGGCCACGTTGAGGCGCCGCGGGTCGTTGAGGAAGCCGATGCCCTGGTGCTCGTTGGCACGCACACAAGAGAGGATGATGAAGTCTTTCTCCCGCCCTTGGAATGCATCCACGCTGGCGATCTCCACCTCCTAACAGGACACAACCATCGGCTACCAGTATCCTAACCCCAGACAGACTCAAACGATCCAGGACAAGCCACCAAATAACACAGTGGGCCTGGGGTCCAAAGGACACAGAATGCTGCCCACAGACCTCCTATAGGCACAGCAAGGAGAGGCTTGTACCCCTCCCACCCCAGCTCCACGGTGCATTATTTCCACCTCAGCATCCTGCCCTGGCCTTTGCTGTGATATCTGAAACAGTCACCTGTTTCCCTCTTAATAAACACTCACTTGGCTCACCACAGAAAAGCTAATACCACCAAGGAGCAAACACCACCAATGGGTGGG